CACAGCGGTGTAGCAACACTACAGTCGGAGTACGTTAATCCGTGGACTGCGTGTAGACATTGCGGGGGAGATGGCCATTTTGCGAGGGAGTGTAGGGCTGCACGGAGAGAGTTTTGTTGGACCTGTGGTCGATGCAATGTCCCGACTCGAGAGTGCTGCCGTAGTGCATCGGGAAACGGGTCGAGGTCCCATTTGCGGCGAGGAGTGGGGCGACAGGTAGAACAGCCTCGCCCAAACTAAATAGTGTACTAAGGCAGTCGGATGGCCGAATTATGGCGGGGATCAGAGTAAATGAGGTCGACGTAGTAGCTGCAGTTAATACAGGCGCAACAAGAAGTTTCTTGAGCGAAGCCATGGTTAAGAGACTGGATGTGGGAGAGGCTAAGCAGGTGAACACGCGTGTGGTAATTGGTGATGGGAGATCCAAAACGGTGCTGAAGGCTATAACGGCACGAGTGGAGTTAGCGAATCAGGTGCATGAAAGCGATCTTTTGGTACTGCCTGGTTTGATGGATGACGTGGTGCTTGGAACCGATTACCTGGCAAAAGCGGGGGTCCGATTATGTTGCGGAGACTTAGACGTGACACTCCGAGATGAAAGCTGCGCACAAGGAGTAGAAACGTTCACGGCAATACGCGAGGGAGGTGCAGAGAGGTCAGGTAAATGCGATGAGCCCAAATCAAACCCCATGCCTACAGAAGCCGCGACAACCGACGAAGCGAGAGAGTTCTTAAAGTCAGAGTGACGCAAATTTGAGAAGATGTCTGGAGTTTCAAATATTGCCACTCACCGGATCGTCATGAAGGATGACCGGCCGATCAAGCAGAGGTATTGCCCGAAGAACCCGAAGATGCAGGAAATCATCAACGCGGAAATCGACGACCTTATCGAGAAAGGGTGTATTGAACCCTCACACAGCCCGCACAGTGCCCCGATAGTGTTGGCGAAGAAGAAGACCGGCAAGTGGAGACTCTGCGTCGACTACCGACAGCTGAACGAGCGTTCAGTGCCCGACGCGTACCCCCTACCGAAGATCAAACATATCCTTGACCGACTATGAAGCGCGCGTTACATTAGCAGCCTTGACCTGAAAAACGGTTACTGGCAAATCCCGATGGAAGAGCAGAGCAAGCAGTACACTGCTTTTACAGTGCCAGGGCGTGGCCTTTTTCAATGGCGAGTAATGCCGTTTGGGCTCCACTCCACCCCCGCGACGTTCCAGCGTGCGTTAGACCAAGTTATCGGTCCAGAGCTAGAGCCGTATGCGTTTGCCTACCTGGATGACATTATTGTCATCAGCGCAACCCTGCAAGAGCACGTCCAACATCTTTCGGAGGTCTTCCGACGGCTTAGGCAGGCGAATCTTAGGATCAACCCAGAAAAATGCGAGTTTTTCAAGAAGCAGTTGAAGTATGTGGGTCACGTCGTCAGCGAGAAGGGCATTCACACCGATCTGGAGAAGGTCGCGGCTATCAAAGAGCTGACACCACCGACAAATATAAGGGAGTTACGCAGGTTCCTAGGGATAGCTTCATGGTACCGAAGATTTGTCCCCGACTTTTCCAAAGTGGCGCATGCGCTGACGTCCATGGTAAAGAAGGGCCACAAGTGGGAATGGAACGACGAGCAACAGACAGCGTTCGAGGCGCTGAAGAACGCGTTAACCGAGGCACCAGTGTTGGCTTGCCCCGACTTTACGCAGAAGTTCACTCTGCAAACAGACGCGAGCGACTACGAGCTGGGAGCTGTTCTCACCCAAGAGATTGGAGGAAAAGAACGCGTAATCGCATATGCGAGTCGCCGGCTCAACAAGACCGAACTTAATTATTCACCAACGGAGAAAGAGTGCCTGGCCATAGTGTGGGTGATCAGAAAAATGAGACCCTACCTAGAAGGATATATGTTTACCGTCATCACCGACCACTTAGCGCTAAAATGGCTGAGTAAGATAGAGAGTCTATCCGGTCGGATTGCAAGGTGGGCGCTGGAACTGCAGCAGTACTCCTTCGATGTGCAGTATCGCAAGGTAAGCTGATTGTGGTAGCAGACGCGCTGTCAAGACAGCCCCAGGAAACATTGCTTGGTTCGATGACGGCGGGAGGAGTAGCGGTAGAGTGCAAGTGGCTGAAAGACAAGATGGCGGAGGTGGAGAGGTCTCCACAGAAGTTTCCTGACTTTGTCATCGAAAATGGTGAGCTGTACAGGCGAATATCAGGACAAATTGACGGTGAAGACGTGTTGCCATGGAAACTATGCGTGCCGGCAGAGCAAAGACAGAGGGTGTTACGGGAAATTCACGATGTTCCCAGTGCAGGCCATATGGGCATCCGAAAAACGATAGCGCGGGCGACAGCGCGGTACTATTGGCCGGGCATGTTCCGTGACGTGAGGCAGTACGTGCGACAGTGTGAAACGTGCTAGCTTTACAAAGCGAGCCAGCAGCAAGCAGCCGGAAAGATGCTGACGCAGCTAGCCGAAGAACCCTGGGCGACAGTGTGTGTTGATATCGTATGACCTCTTCCGAGATCCAAGCATGGAAACACTGTGGCGCTGGTAATACTAGATCGTTTCTCAAGATGGGTCGATATTGTACCAATGCGGAAGGCAACAGCGGAGGGAGTAATTCGAGCAGTGAGAGAGCGGATTATCGGCAAATTCGGCATTCCAAAAGTCCTGATCTCGGATAATGGAACGCAATTTACCAGCGCGAAATTTAAGCAATTCCTAGAGGAGATGGGAGTAAGGCACCAATTCACTGCTCCGTACACACCGCAGAAAAATCCGACGGAAAGAGCGAACCGTAACGTCAAGCGACTACTGGCGCAGTTTTCAGGCAGAGACCAGAAAATGATCTGTTGCCAGAAATGACTTTGGCCCTCAAGACGAGCGTGTGCGAGGCAACGGGTTACAGCCCGGCGTTTGTCATCTAGGGGCGAGAACCAAGGTTACCGAACGCATTGTACGACGAAAATACGTTAGGAACCGGCGAAGATACCACCACACCGCAAGTAAAAGCGGCGAGAATGAAAGAGGTGTTTGAGTTAGTGCGACGAAACCAACAAAAGGCAACGACAGAGCAAGCGAGACACTACAATCTGCGAAGAAGATCGTGGCAACCGGTCGTGGGAGACATAGTTCTGGTGAGAGAACACTTCTTGTCTAAAGCCGTGGACAATTTCGCGGCTAAGCTTGCACCGAAATACGGCGGACCACATCGCGTACTAAATTTTATTTCGCCTGTGATCGTTGAACTCGACAAGGTGCACAAAGGGAAAAGGAGGACAGCGCACGTGAGTGATCTCAAACCATTTTATGAGAACAACGCGAAAGGTGAAAATTCTCCCGTGGCATCGTCTGAGCCTAATTCGGTGCACAGGGGCGAATAGGTAAATTTCAGCAGAGACTGAAGTGTGTGAACTCGGCAATTGGCAGCAGGGCAGCAACTGCCATGACAGCGGAGACCCTGAACGATGAGAAGCTAGCCGAAGAATCCTAAATCAGATGAAGAAGAAGATGAAGAATAAGAAGAAGAAGAAGAAGAAGAAAAAAATAAAGGTTCCAAGGGAAAACAATGAAAGATGTAGATGGCACAAAAGAAAAATTATAAAAGTAAAAAAAAATAAAATAATAATGCAAGAATTTATTTAATCGACCTTTAGTTATAGATGTTTTTTCTGGTTTCTTTTCGAGCCTGAGGTCAAGTTTTTATTTTTGTTTTTACTTCAAATATAAGGATCGAGTCTACACGCAACAAAAAGGACTACCTATGGGATCGCCACTTTCACCAATAATTGCAGACATAATGAGGAGGACCTACTGGACGAATGTATGAAAAAATTGACAACCAAACCTA